AGAGAAAAATTTACATGAATATTGTTCTACTTACTCGGATTTTGCCTTGCAGCACAGAAACAACTTCTCCCATCATTCGAACCAAATCCTCATATTTGTATGTGTTGTCTGTAAGCCAGACAGCTTCACGAATAGTTAAAATTTCTTTACTAACATATCTGTAAAAATAATAAAGAATAAAATGTAGCAAATGTATATTTAACATGCACAGACAATTCTGAGAATTTGTTACCTTGTACAAACTACCATGCAGGCTATTCCCAATAACTGAAGGCAAGCTTTGGGAACAGAACGCTGGGCCAGATATCGGTCCACACAGCCCACTGTCACATGCAATGTCAGGCTGGAGAAGTCCTTCATCGTAGTTACTTCCACAAGCCAGTCCACCAATATGTACCTGAATAATTTAACACATTAATGAGTAAATGGGCGAAAACTAAAATTCTACAACAATACCAATAATTAATAACAATAACATCATCATTATTATCATTATCATTATTATCATCTAACATACTAAAATTATCATTTACCAATCATTCTGGATCACAATCACAACTGGCAACAATAGAAATCTACCTCATGCTGTCCTTGATGCCTCGTTTTAGGATGGCTGAAGTGTCAGATTTGGCTGATGTGTTAGGCACACTAAAAAGTTGAGACACCAGGTCAGTACAGGCCTTTGTTTCTAAACCCAGCGGATTTCCAGCACTGCACAGTTTAGCCAGGGTCAACTAGAACATAAAAACATTAAATAATTATTAAGAGACACAGAGACATGTGTCACATTAAAATAAAAACAAACATTCTGATGAGTCATTTCTGATTAACGGCTTGCAGTTTGGAGGAGCCTTCAAATAGTAATCACATTATTCCATCTGTCAAGCTCCTCTGACACCAAACAATGAGGAATTGTTAGTTGCTCCAAAAATAATTATAAAAACAAGAAGTAGTACAGCACAAATGTTATACAAGACTTTGACTTGTAATTTTGTTAAAGAGCTTATTGTAGTGTTTCTTACCTGTGCCTGCCAGCATCCTTTGGCAGCATAGTCCCTGAGAGTACGTACACACTGTAGATACCTTCCAGGGTCACTGCTCTACATTTTAAAACAGAACAGATATTGATTGTTTTTAAGATTTTCACATTGTAATGTACTGTATGCTTTTATACTCACAGATGTTTTCCGGTTAATCTCCCATAAAGAGTATGAACTCTGAAGACAACCAGCCAGAGAAGACTGCTCCAACATAGCCATAGCTTCATCGTACTTTTCATCCTCCTTTGAAAAAAAAAATATATATATATATATATACATAAAAAAATAAAAAATAAACTCGCTGATCCGGATGTCAGTTGAAACCATGTCTAAACACATGCAAATAAGTCAGGTGAAGCCATGTTAAAACAGTGTGAAAGAGATCAGCTCTTTGTAATAAATAACAAAGCACAGCATGGCAGTAGGTGAGAAAAGCAACCAACAGTGGAAACTGCAGCTTTGTGTTACTTGGCAATTAGGTAATGGCAACCATTGGACCACATGTGTTTCTAATGACCATACAGGGATCTTCTAATTATATTGTACTTCAACAAAATGCTTAAATCAAGAATGTATGAGAGCAAGACCACATGCTTCAAATATATTCAGTTTCATCTTAAACTGTGTAAAAGAAAGAAAATACAAAAAGTTACATTTTTGTTATTTTTACCTACACTTACCTCAAAAAATTGTAGAACACGGGCCAAACAGTGTAATAAGGGTCCTCGATTATCCTAAAATACAGAGAATACACAAGACTCAGGTGAGAAACAGTCAGTTAAGATGTGACGTTATAAACTTCAAAAACAAAGCAGAAAAAGATATTACCTTGTTTCTGTCACATTCATTCTTCAGATGGTCATATACTACAGCTTTGCAGCAACTACCAGAAGGAGACCAAGGAGGACGGATGAACACCCATATAAAGGGATCAGCGCTCTGAGCTCGCAAGCCTTCTGCAAGACTGAAGTAGTGGGACGCTTTACGGCCACACACATCAGCTCTTCCCTCATCACTTAATAATGCTAACAGAAGAAATGTCCAATTAGATAAATTTTCATTCAGCCATGAAGTAAATGATGGTGTTATTAAGTACAGTTTAACTTACGTCCTTCGTTATATAAATAGGCAATTCCGAGTTTTACAGCAGCTTCAAAATTCCCTTTCTCAGCAGCTCTGCAAAATAAAAGTCATCAGTTATCAGATCATAACTTCCACAAATTGACATTTCAAGACACAATATAATGCTTACTTTTCAAAAAGCCATAATGATGTAGGAGTAGGCCAGGTATCTTTAAAACTAATCCTGGCCCAAACACTGGAATGGTTGTCAACAATGTCTCGTAGCTGAGAGTGAACCTGCAAGAAATGACAAAAGCATACAGTTGGTACCAGATGGTCTCAAGATGGTGGCTTAGAGAAAATCTGGAGGTGACATGAGAATGGTTGGTAAATACTGGAGTGTAAATGTGCACTAGGATTCACTCACAGCTCTGACAGAAAGCAGGTCTTCAGCAGAGAGGCACTGGAGCACACACAGCAAGACCTCCTCAGGAAGAGACAGCAAGGTTAGAGATGGGGTCCGCTTACGCACTCGTTTCCGAACCGGGACAGAATAACATTTTGAGCAATGGCAATGAAGCACTGCAAGGAAACACAAATAATACACATTAGAATTACTGTTGTTTTGCCATCAGTTGTACCTATTTTAACAATTTAAAAAGCATTTCACGTGTTAGTGAGAAACTGGCCACCTAACTACCACAAGTTTGTAGTAAAATTTTTCAGTTAAGTGAAAGATCAGCATGTTTGCAATTCATCTTTCCTTCTCACTTTAAAAAGGTTCAATGTCTAATGTCTTAGTTATTAAAATATGTCATTATCCTTGGTATACAACATACAATGTAAAAAAAAATACAAACCTAACTAAACTGTGTATTAAATCATAACCAGTTTATGATATACTCAAACCGTGTGAGCGCCCAAATTTCCCTCCCATAGGCTACCATTCAAATACAGCTGACGTGCGATTATGTTTATGTAATAGACTATATATTGTGAATCTTTAAGTAATATTAAGCAGACGTTGCATAGTTAAGAAATAAATATTTATATCACTATCAGGATCTTGCTTTAGTGGACCGCTTCGATGCACAATGTCAAATATCAGGCCAAGTTTCATATACGGTCTATGGAGATGATACACTCAAATAATAAAGTATTACAGAAAACGGAAAATCTTTTAATAGCGGCACTTGACTTATTGAAATAAGATACAATTTTGTTTACTTACCGCCTCCTTTCATCTCAAAAGTGGTATCTTCTCCCTCCGATGGTAAGCGGTAAGTGATACAGAGGTTAAGCAGCGGTTTAACTCCCAGTCATAAACTTTTTCACGCAAATCTGGCAGAACAAAATGCAGCGACGTTGTAAAATGTATACATCAAGGTAGCTAGTGTCCTGACTAAACCAGAGTAGTGCTATTTTAATGTTAGAAAGCTCTTTTCCTGATTTCAAATTCAAGCACGCGTCCTTAGGTTGCTGGACCCGCCCCAAAGCCGCCGAAGCACCGCCCGCGCTCACTGTTTAAACACTCAAGACAATCTGATTGGACAGAGACGGATCCGCCTCCCCGCATCTACAGTGGCATTTCATTGGTTATCTTCAACAACAATAGCGGTGATTGGCTAGACTTTATAAACACTAAAAAAGAACGATTGTTATTGGAAAACGTAACGCAATTTCGAAGTACGCGCTTGCCAATGGAAGAATACAATTGGTCAAAATAAATATAAAGAACTTTAAGTGTCACGCCTCCTTCTGAGGATTATGGACCGTGTAGTTTTAAACGTACTACTGTTTAAAGGTCCGTGTTTAAAGGGACACGCACGTAGTAAACGCAATAGTCTGTATTTCCTTCGGATTAGTCATTTTTCAGAACCATTAAAGCAATTATGTGATCCGATTTTTAGTTTAGCCCTGGTTTCAATCTGGTGGTACTTGAAAGACCAATTTGTTGTGGTAGCCAATTTGGCATGAAAAGTTTGAGAACTACAGCTTATTTAAATACAGAATACTGCCCTCTTGAGTGCTTTTTGAATGATTAAATCATGTTCTTGCAGACCCATTTATCAGTCACGTTTGAATATCACAAGAGAGAAAACACCAGGATATTATAGCCGAGATTACCCAGATGCTAATAGATACTGAGAAAAAGTGTTAAGGAAAGGTAAAACTTTTGTCCTATTAATTGTTTTAGAATAGTTTATATCTTTATCAATATTATAACTATTATAAGGTCACATGATTATATTTAGAAATGGCTCATATTTTCTTATTCCTATCTTCTTCTATTGTATAAAAATTAAAAAGCCCAAGTGTTTTAATCATTGTGAATGTTTATTGACTCGAGCCTTTTCTTTAGTATCAGTATCAAGTTTGCAATTTTATTATTGTGACATTTACTATTTTTTGATAATTTAAAAGTATACTTAGTTTTAATACTTAGTTTTTATTAATGAACCATGGATCATATTTACATTTATTGAATACAACTGACATATATTTCAGTGAAAACTTAAAGTACAAATATAAAAGATATTTATACAGAATAGATCTACCACTGAGTAGAGTGACCAACAGCATCAGACTGCAAGGCTACCCAAGGAGAAAAGGGGTGTAGTTCCCCTGCAGCATAGAGGTAGACGTTCCCTTTAAGTGAAGGCAAAAGGTAAATTACTTTTACTAACAAGAACAGGCAATGGCATCACAGATTGGCATACAAATATCTGTCAAGCAAGCAACCACATTGTACTGTATGTATGGAAATTGCACTTTCACAACATTTTCTTGCTATCAACCATAATCACATAGACTAAGCAATTACCTCCATTTCATTTTGGACATATACAGATGCTCTCAAAATCAATTGTGTAATCTATAAGGCTCACCATCTATTCTGTACTTCAGTAAAATCAAACAATAATATTTTATCATTATTCACATCTCCTCTGACACTTCATGTTTACACAACAGAGAGGAATAAGCAGTGTTTTAGCTTATTTTGTGACGTTGTTTTAATGTCATCTGTCCACTAGTCCTGCTAATGCCCCAGGTCTGATCAAGACCATTGTTCCCATTTGGACCCCACAAAACTCCATCCAACAATTTTCTCCTTTAAATCTTTTCACAATTGCCTTCCACCACTCATCTATTAGCTCTACTCACCTCAAAAACATAAGTGACCATTCACCAACAGTGAGCTCAGTGATCCAATGTATCAAATAGGTTGCCACTTGCAGTTTGATAATTAGTAAGACGTGCCTCAGAGTCTTTGGCATCATTCTGTTAACAGCTTACAATGGATGCATAGGCACATTTTGCTCAGCAGCAAGTGTCACTAATTTGGTAGCCAAAATCAATGCAAGAGGGATTAATAACAGTTTAAAAAGTTAATCCTGTTAATCCATTTTAGACAGACGTTTGCATTTCAGACTCTTTGTACAATGCACATTTGTGTTATAGTGAGCGAAAGACATTATATTATTAGTCCTAGAGCCCTACAAAGATTCAATTTTGATAACAGTGGAGGAATCACTAATACGTCATTCACACTTTCAAGTGTAAATAATACATCACTCAGTGATGTCTGCCAATAAAGATGTTGCAGAGCCTAATATTCTCAGCTGTGGCCTAGGACCCAAACGTGGGTGGCAAGTTGAAAGTGTGTGGACTGGAGAAAATTGTGGAAAACAGATTACATGTTTGCTTGTTGTTGTTTTTTTTAAATTCTGGTATATCGTATTCAAGACTCAACAATGCAACAATAAAGTTAAAGTATTGACAAAAAAAAAATCATAATAAGTGTATACGTCCCAACAAAATTGGGATCTCAAATTGATAATCACCATTTTTAAGGCTTGTGAATACTGAAGAAAAAACTACATATGAGTAAGAAATAAGTCTGAAAATGGGAATGTGACAGGCTTGTTCCTTAAGTGCGAGGCATTTACAAAGAAGTGCTTTAGACAAGGGCATCTGTTACAGTTTCTCTGTACTGGCAGGACCCAAGGCAATGCCCTTTAGTAATCCCAGTCTGCCCATCCTGATGTGAGGGCTCCACGTAGACATGCTTGAACACTCCCAGAAGGGCAAACTGTCAGAATGCCAGCAATTCTGTCCTTTAAGCAGTAGCTACGAAATGTTCTCTTGACAAAACCAAATGAGCAAATCTTTGACAAACTTAAAGTGCCTCATCTGTTTTTAGACTCGCATAACAAGTTGGTCTCAAAGTTTTCCTCCATGCAGATTCCAGCAAGATCTTCATCGACTCAAGTTCCACTGTCCCATTGCGTAAAAAGCCCCCCCTGCACATTGCTGCGGTGTCACAGGATGAGTGAATGACGCTGGCCGTTGACGTGGTTGCACAGCTTATTTGGATGGGTGTCGAGTTGCGGTCTTTGGCCTACTTCTGGCCTCTTGGAGGGTCACCTGTCCCAGCAGTAGGAATGCTGTGACTGACGTCCCTTGTGACGTGAGCACATGCTCCAGCAGCAGCTCTGCATATCATCTTAGACACACTTCGACCTCTGGTGAGGAGTGTGAGGGTCGCGTTTCTGTGCATGTAAATATGTGTGCAGTATGCAGTACATATTTGTGAAGGGTCTCCTCTGAGCTTGTTTTGACACTGGATACCTGTCTGATAAAGTAGTGTTTGTGATGCCTCCATGTGCAACTCATTTCAAACTCCTCAGAACAAACAGATCCATGCGGCATGCCGTCTTTCTCTCTACAGACGTATTTGTATGCATTCTGAAAACCTATTCACTTTATCTTCCACTAGTTTTACTCCAGTCAAACTTTGCAATTACAAAATAATGTCAGGTTTGGCAGGTGTTTAGACAACTTGCTTTACACATTTCCTTGTAAGCTTCACAGTTGGCACGCTTCAGAATTTAATGAGACTGCTTCCTTCTTTTTCCTTCTTTTCTTCTTATGAACAGTCCAACAAGCAGTGGCCATCAGCAGGAGCAAAATCCCCAACACTAATAGCACTACAGATACCACCTTAGTCTGAGGCAGGTCATTGTAAGTGTAAGTTACTCCTGTTCCCGCTACACCAATCACCAAGGAGATAATTCCAAAAGGAAAGATGCAGCGGTACCAAGATTTCTCCATGCCTCCAGTTGCTTGGGACAGACGCTCAAGGGATGAAAGCGCCTCTGGGACTTTGGGAGCGCCTGCCTCCAGGGAATGAGCCTCATGCCCTAAGGTGGTTGGTGGCTGGGTTTGGAGAGCCAAGTGGCCAGTGGCACAGCCCATGCTGAGCCTATGGGCTGGCAGATCCCGATACCGATCAGCAACTGCTGGGCTGGGCTTGTGGTTGGCTCTGACCTGGAGACACACAAGAGAAGACTGAAGAAATAACCGGAGTCTAAATGACACAAGAGAAGGCTTCTAATTCAGCGCAGAAATCCACTCACACTTTTCCCTGCTCTGCTTTTCTCTCTGGCTCTTTTTCTGCACTGTGCCTGCTGGTGCTCTGGCAGCACATTGTACACTATGCTGAACGAAGAGAAGGAGGATATATAAGCTTGTAGAAAGAGGAGGGGCTTATGAGGGAAATGGGCAAGTCAGAGTGCCCTGATACGTGCTCTTTTATACTACGTCAACGATTGAAGAGGGAGAAGAGAAAGGGGGAGGGGGTGCACAACAGCCTATATTCTTGTCTCCCCATCACTGCATCTCAATTGCACTTATGTCTTAGAGAAAGAGCCTTTGGTGAACAGAAACATTCTTAAAAGAGTGTATTACAAATCTTGATATAAAAGTCTATATTGTCCTATCCTGACATTTTGGATTCAGCACCCAAAACAAACCACAAATGAAAACACTTACATTGGAAAAACAATAGTCCATTAATAATATATATATTTTTTTACTTTATTGTGTTTATTTACACTTGTCCATGTGACAAAATCACACATACAGGTCCCCCTCTGTTTCTACCCACACATATTGCTAGTGGAGGCTCTCCTTGAATGCAGAGAACCCTTGATATGGTAAACCCTCTGTCTAACTTTTGTCCACCATTATATTTGTGCACAGTATGCATTAAGACATGTATTTTTTATTTTATTTTTTATTTATTTGCATGTAGTGACAACCCCAAACCAAATGTAATTATGTATTTAAAGCATAGAAAATCTGAAAACAAACAAAGGAGATTCATGTGATGGTCATGCAACACTCATTATCTCTTATACCAGCTCTATTTGTGACAGGCAACAGCTTAAGTTGTGGGTCAGAGGAAGCACGTATCTGTCAATCTCCTAATGACATGAAGCTCAACACCTCTTGGTAACTGTGTAACAAGGACAGCCAATGCTTTGAATAAAATTGATTGCATATGTCTATATGTTGATTTTGTATTCTAGCATGAAGCATACAGAGAAACAGGCACCCAGAGCGCATCTTCTGTGACTCACCCTACTCTGCTAGTGCTCAGGAGGGCTGCTACACCCACGGCCTGCTGTGTGAACCCAGCAACACCTGTCGGCCAGTCTGGTGCAGCTCGTGCCATCCACACGTCATCTGTGAGCATGAGTTTTGTAGACCACACCAATCAACTCTATAACACTCTCTCACAAATATGGAGGGCAACAGACGGTTACAAATTTGCCAGATCAGAGTTTAAGGACCTAAACTAACAAAGAAACTAATGGAAAAATGTAAGGATTATCCATGCTATCCTGCCATCTTTCCATAATTGCTCATAGAAATGTGCAGTAATTGTACAATATAAGAACTTTATTGATGCTGTGCCCATACTTTAATTTGTTTGACCACAACACAAAATGAGTGTCACTTCTTAAGATCTACTAGAGGATTATTCCCTCTGAGACAGAACACAAAGATTATCATCACACAAAATTTAAACAAATTAAAATTTGCAAATGTTTTTTCCTTTAATCATGTGATCTTTTTTAACATATAAAAAGTGTACAAAAATAAAATGTTCTCTAGTTCCATATAAACCGTTGCAGAAGTCTGAAATCTACTTACAGGGTCCAATGTGTCTCAGGAGTCAGGTTCAGAGTCAAGTACTATGGCAGGAAACCGCTCCCCTCCTTCCCCCAGCACAGAATAGAGGTCTCTCAGAAGACTGGGATTTACAGATTTTTGCACAACTGAAGAAAGGTGTGGAGCCAAAGTGTTGGACAAGGCCTGTCAGAAAGTGTACATTAATACAAGGTTTACATAAAAAATACTTTTCTGCACTATAGCCCTTACCGTTTCTAGACAAACCTCCTGTTGTAGCTGTGCTACCCTCATCCTCAGTGTCTCCAGCTTTGTCAGCTCTCCGTCCGTTGTATATGTAACAGTTATGGGCAGGGGTGCCGTTCTCCCTTCATGCCCCACAACCTCTGCTCTCTTGGGGCAAAGACAACCCCACTCTGGCCTCCATCGATCCCATGATTCCCACTCTAACGGAAAATATGGTTATATTTAGAGTGTGAGGGTGAGCAACCGTACCCTAAAACCTTTTCTCCGCTGCTGCCTCAGCTTTAAATAGCGAGGCCCTTGCCTCGCTTCGTCAGGATAGACAGCTTTAAAACCCTACCACCAGGAGGGGGTTTGTCAAGGCCAAAGAAAGTACAGCTCTGGCAATGAGTGCTCACTGCAGCTCTGTTTTCATTTTCCATGCACCATAATAGAGAAGTTGCATTAACTCGTTAGCACTGCTCATTTGTTGCTACCAATTTATATGAGTTTAAAGTGGAAACCATTTAAATGTTTACAACTAACTTTGCTATTTTCTAAGATGTCATTCTTCATCTAGGATGTATGGACAACTGTTGAGCACAATGATATAAAAACATAACAAGCTAAAAGTACAGGAGGGCTATACTCAAAACTCTGAAGGTGATACGAGTTATACGAGTGGCACAAATGGAAAAACCCTTTTAGCTTCTTGATAATTGTATCAGTGGAAGCTGCAAGTGAATGTTACATAGAGACTGAGATACTGGTCAATATGTAAAATGGAAAAAAGGAGTGAAAGTGTCAGATTTGTGAATTATGTTACCTCTTTTGACTTGGACTGCACATTGATGGATTTCTTGGGATGTCAATTTCAGCATTTCACATGTTAATTTAGTATCACCTAAAAAGGGTAGATTATAAATAATAACTTTTGAGTATGTATTGATGATTCCTCAGTTCTTGTACTGATTGTAACCTTGGTTTTTGTCATCTTCTGGTGTCTGCAAGGCCATTAGATCACCCATCTGTCTGTCGTCTGTAGGATCTTTCCCTTGTTGAAACAGCCTGTGCACCAGAGCTTGAATCTTTTCTGGGCTACCACATGGCCACCTCATGGGGAACTGAGGGGACAAGGTCAAGGATTGCAAACTGAGTATAAAGACAGCACAGAGTAATAATACAGTATCAAGTCAAATGTGCACACTAAAACTTACCTCATATGTTCTGTGCATAAAATACAAATACATGTAAGTTTTGTAAATTGTTCAAGAAAACATACCGTGTGCCTCATTCTTGTCATGAAATGATCCCTCCCAGGCACTGAAGATTTCCTTTCCAAGGCTAGAATTTTGTCCCACAACCTGAAGAACAGAAGAAAATAAATAAAAATGTGTAGTATATTGAAACACAAGTATACTAGTATACAAGGGGTACCTCTTTTCCTTGTGTTTGAGATGTGTCCATTTTAATATCTCTTGTTGAATCAGACAATTTCCTCCTGACTCCGTTGTTTTTGAAAAAGAGGCAGGGGTGCTTGTAAAAGACTCTTTAGAATGTGTGCCACCCATTTTGATTATCTGCTTTTTAGATCCACTGGGAGGTGTATGTTGTCCATGATGTGGCAGTCCCCCCATTGTTTTTTTAGGGGCATTCGAGTGCAGACATTTTAAACCATCTGCTGGTTTCATGCTGAGAGAACTAAGGACTGTTGTCTGATATTTTCTTTGTTTTTTTTGTTCAGTTGTTTTGGATATCAATTTATCAGTTTTTGTTTGCCCTTTAGAAGATTGCAGCGAATCTTTTGTTGCAGCACTACCTTCTTTGTTTTGACTTAGAGGTGGTTTGACAATGCCTGTGACAGGGTCTAAACCAGAGCGGACTCGCAGTGCTTTTTCCAGAGCCTTTTCAAGAAGATCTATTTCTTCTTTGTCCACTTGTGATGTATCTGTAGGAAACAATTCTGTCTGTGAATTGTTTTTACTTCTTGTGCTAGAAAATATGGATTAAACAAATATTAATAATAACAAACCTGTAGGTAAATTGCATTCAGATTGAAACCCAGGGGATGATCTTGGCTGAGATGTTCTGTTAGATAGTTAAGCAGAAAGAAAAGTACATTTCTTTTTTTGTTTGGTTGCAATATAACTTTATGTGTGTGTGTGTGCGTGTGTAATATATATATATATATATATGGCACTTTGGAATTTTAGTTTCCAATTCCAACATTTGAATATGTCTTAATCATTGCGAAAGCAAAAAGGCACTGCTGGGATTCGAACCCAGGATCTCCTGTTTACTAGACAGGCGCTTTAACCAACTAAGCCACAGCGCCACCGTATGACGCCGCGTGTAAAAAGTATTCTTGAAGGTAGAGCAAAGCAACTAGACACTAACACTACTACTTACAAAACATCTAGGATTTCGGTACAAAGTTGAATTGACTGATGAATCCTGGCTTGTTGTTCTTTCCACGATTTTAGTTTATCTTCAATGACGATATAAAGCGCCATCTTCATGGAGCGCCGCGGAATCCTTTCGTTGATTTATGCAGCAGGAAAATACAAGTAAAATCTAGAGACCAAAAGAGTTATTTTTAAGCACGTGCGAATGATATGAAAAACACTGCATTTTGGCACCATTCGTTTAGCACTCACTGTTGTTTAGATCATAACCGCGTTTTCAAAGGAAGTAGGAAGTAAAGTTCCCATAACAGTGTTTAGAAAGCAATATACTTTGATTGTTAAGAACAAATTAAGCTCGAAAGATCTATGGTGCTACCACGAGGATTAAAACACAGATAAAACTACTGTGTCAGATTGCTGAAAAGTGAAGCCCCGTTTCGTTTCCACAACAATCGTGATAACGCTCTTTCTCGCGTGATTTTGGAGTTGAATTTTAACCGTCTGGATTAACCCCATAGACTGTATGACATTAACCCATGGCTGTGTTAGTAGAGTCAGAGTGCATGGCAGTACGGTTAGTGTACACAGGCCTAGCAAAAATATTGGACTGACTTGCATCGGACTAGGTTTATTGAGGGAAAATGATAAGCAAATTAGACTAATAAGCAGCACATATTTGACCCCATGGGTTTTATTTTATGCAGTAGTTAGAGTACGCAAGTAGCCTAAACTATAAATATTCTGTAATTTAATTATTGTTAAAAGGAGGGATGCACAAATAATCAGTTCTGTAGTTTATATTTATTTTTTTTTCTGACAAATAACAACAGCTTGCTTTGGAAGTGAATCATCACGCATCTTTTAACCTTCCATCCTCTGGGGCTCATGAACAGGCTTTGTGTCTATATGGGGGTATGTGGAAGTGTGAGGTGGAGAGGAGATTCTCTGCTGGCCTGCCAACCTACATCTGTTATGGGAGTCTCAGCCAACAAAAGAATAGCCTAGGCCTAATAATAGAAATAAAAGCACATCTTGTTCTGTTTTTTAGTTTTTTTTTCTTGGCATTTTGGGCAGTGTCTTACCTTTATGGCATATCCTTGTAAATGTGAAGGCAACAATACCACTAAATAAACATTGAACTGTATTTGAAATGTATTTTCTCTACAATGCTCTGAATGTAAATTGAGTTGAGAGCAGAGGATGTGCATTTTCATATTCAAGTGTTTCCATTTGGTGACACATGGTAGGCTACATCATGTATAATCCATGAACAGCATGTGTGAATCACAAAAAGTGTGTTATCACACAAATTAATGCACTGCACACTCAAAAACATGATAATATTTCTGATTTCTGCAATTTTTTCATGCTTGAGTCTTGAGAATGATTCCTTTTGGCTTTGATCTAAATCCACATGAAAGGTAGTTTTTGCACTATTGAGGAATTAAAGGAAAAGGGATGAAAAGTTTGTCTAGAATAGTCTACCTACCTAGCCCAGAGTTGGGACTAAACACATGGAATTTCAGGTCTTTCCAAAAGTCTTCCTGAAGATGGAAGACAGACCTCTGCAGCCCCATGCTCTGCTCTGACTATTTTCAAATCCATGCTCAAAACAGTTCTGTTTACCTGTGCATATGACTTTCTATCCTGCAGTCTTCTATTTAAACAAAATTTTATTACAATTATTTATCTTTTTATGTGTTTATTTGAATGTATTCTTATGCTGCAGAGGACTTTCAATTACAGTGTGTATGAGTCGTGCTATTCAAATAAATTTGCGTAGCTATTATAAAAAATAAATAAATAAAAAATCTTTAAAATAAATATTCCCCCTCCTGCAGTGTATTATGATAATAGCCTATCCAATCAGAGGAGCGCGCCACATCCACGCGCTCAGGACATATCTATGGTCACGTGACACCGGCTGGGGGGGCAGGAGGGGGGCAGGTTGCGTAGTTGACTTCTTCTCCCTCAAGTTCAGTCTCACTTATTTATGCAACTGTTCCCGTCCGATTCATACTTTAAGGTTTGTTCACAGTCTCATATTTTAAAGAGTCGCAGCATCTTTAGTGACTGTGGAGCTGGTTTTGTACTGCTCCGGTTAATGTGGCGTCGTTTTAAATGCTAGCTTTGTGATAGCATCTGAGAGCTATCGCATTCTCGGGTGATGAACTGATTTAACAATAATTATGGCGATAATTCATGAAAGCTTTTCACGTTAACTAGTTATTGTATTATCCTCTTTAAAATATGGTCCCAAGAATCTCAGTATATTGTTTATCTGGAGCGAAAGCTAGCTGTCATTTTCCGGTGAAAGTCAGAAGGCCCGTGGCTTGTTATTGTTCTGTTTTTGCTGGTCAGCGGCAGTTCATTAGGTCACGAGTATGTTTTTTGTCCCACTACACTTCGGTCAATACAGCCATTTAACATCTTGCTAAAATCGATTTATAATCAAATTCGTGTTCCTTTAGAAAGAGTTATATGTTCTCTCAGCCCCAAACACAAACAAGGATATACAATATTTCCACAAATATCAGTAGCTTCTACTAATGTAAACAGTGGGTTAGAAACAAAATGTATGGTTAGAAATTAAAGTTTTGTTCGATAATAGTTAGCAAATTTAATGAAGTGTACGTTTTAAGTAAGTGTTTTGTTTTTGTTTTCAGCAGAAAAAATGGAGACGGGTACAAGTATGGTGAGTGGATATGAAGACAAGGATGAGGATCTCAGGTGAAACATCTAAATCAGTACTGTATAAGTCACTAAATAGTTCCTGGTTTTGAATCAGAATTTTTAATTTTTTTTTCTTAAGGCCTGAAGATCTGTCTGAGATGCTGGGAGCAGGGACCCGTGAAATTCATGAAAAGGCTGAGAATACACAATTTGTAAAGGATTTTCTCAGGGGCAACATTTGCAAAGAGCTTTTTAAGGTCAGCCCTATAACCAACTAACCAAACACTTTGCATCCTTAGTATTATATTGTGACATTTGCTTATTCTTTTCCTAGCTTGGTGTAGTAGCACTTTACTACACATACACTGCATTGGAGGAGGAAATTGAGAGGAATAAGGACCATCCAAATTTTGCCCCTTTATATTTTCCTGCAGAGCTTCACCGCCATGAAGCCTTAGCTCATGACATTGAATTCTTTTATGGCCCTGAATGGAAAAGCCAGATCAACTGCTCAGAAGCCACAAAACAATATGTAGAACGCATTCATCAAGTGGGACAAGAGGACCCAGTGTTGCTGGTGGCTCACGCCTATACTCGTTACATGGGAGACTTGTCTGGAGGTCAAGTTTTAAAGAAGGTTGCACAGAGGGCTCTGAAGCTCCCTCCTACAGGAGAGGGGCTGGAGTTCTATCATTTTGAGGGTATTCATAGCCCCAAAGCTTTCAAACAGCTTTACCGGAGTCGGATGAATGAGCTGGAGTTGGATGTGGATACAAAGAAAAGGCTCGTAGCTGAGGCTATTGAGGCCTTCCACTTAAACATAAAGGTAAAAAACACACTCTTCTGAGCATAAAGGTTCATCTTATAAACAAGAAAAAATACTGTTGGTTTTGTTAACTCCCATGATACCCCAAAAGAATGCCTTTGTGTAGCCCAACAATATCAAGTGTTAAATGTTTTCCAAACAGGTATTTGAAGAATTAGATGACATTGGTAAAAACATTCCGAGAGAGGTGTCTGATGCTGGCATGTCCCACCATGGAGCAATGGGAGGAGATATTAGTAAATGTCCTTATTATGCAGCTAAAATGGGTAAGTGAATATTCCGTCCAGCTTTTTAATCACACTTTTGTTTTTGATAAATCTGAAATGAGCTCCTTTTGTACCATAGCGGCTTCAGGTGGAACAGCGTATGTCGGTCAGCTTGCCATGGCTGTGCTCAGACACCCAACTGGACAGGTCCTTTTTGCTACTTGGTTTGCTGCTTTGGCTGGGCTAGCTGCATGGTATTTAATGTGATGCAGATGTCAGCTGCTCTAATGTGCAAAGATAGGATTGTGAACTGTGACACAAGAAATCTTTTTAAACCCTTAACTTTTAAGTCTCCTAACTAGAATTACATGGAACTGAAATAAAAGTGTTAGTGTAATCCAACCTGTCATGTAGGGGCAAATGTTTTCATGAGTAACAATTATTTCATATTCAGTGCTTTTTTTGAGCAGAGGGGAGTATTGTAAATGTATATGCAATGGATACTGTGTTTTATTTTGGCATTTGTACAATTATTATAGAGCAATGGATTTGACAAAGTACCTTAAATGCAATATTATAGCACCTCAAATAGTACTGTACTTAATTTCAATGCAGGGATTGCTTTTAACGTTTTATTTTAACATGCAGTTTGGTAGACTGTATACTACTGATAAATTAGGTTAACAAGAAAATGTCAAACGTATGGTTTATTTTTTAAAAAGGCTTGATATTTTTGCACAGGACAGGTCTTATCTGACATAGGTTAAGTATTAAATGCATTTTCAGCCACATACTGTATGTTTTGCTTCAGAATTTCCAAATACTGTACACATTTGTGCATTGTCATTGGTAAGTAAATCATGCTTTATACTTCAAATGTGTTTTACTGCAGAATATTGTATTATATAAATTATGCATCAAGAAATAAACCTGACTTAACCTCCTTGTAATTGCTTTTCCATTTATTGCAGAAATACCTTTTTGTACAACAACTGATGGGGAAAAAATAGGTTTTATTAACCATCATTTCAATTAAATCTCCCTTATGTGTTTTTTTTATTTTAATCAGTTTACGGAAACCACTCTTCATCGATGTACAGTATATTTTATTGGTAAATTGACAATTCACAACATTATTTACAGTGACTATCAACAGATAAGTTGGTGAGAGAGAGAGAGTCAAAGCAATGGTCAAAGCAACAATGGTTTTCATATAATTAAAATCTGGTGGTTTAATGGACACATTGCATTTCAAACGGGCTCATAATCATTTAAGAAAGTCTGACATCTGTCTATTTAACTGTTACACTGCAGAGCAGATGTGTTTCTCCTTGTTTTATTGCAGGGATCGTCATTCAAACAGATCTGTTCATCTTCTTTGTGGACTGTGCACCCTCAAGGCGTTCAGACCGAATGCATTCTCTGCCTGATGGTCAGTTAAAGGACCTTTTACCTTAAAACAAACACAAAAAAGGGAGTTTGTCCTAATGAATCATCAGAATTCTTGACATATAACTGGACACCAAAATGCTACCATCTCGCGAGCTCTCTCTATACTCATGTAATATGTAAATATCTGAAAATACCAGCTGAAGTGGTATGTTGTTGGTTGTTAATGTGACAGCCACAAACCAAAAATATCTAGTTATGTGCTGCATTGCATAAAATCCCCTTAAACTAATCGGAAATCCTACCTGATTTGTGGCTGTCAGGAGTTAGGCATAAACAGTTTCTTTAATTTAGAGAAGATTCCCCCCTCTTGTTTCAACTCTCCTTCCATCTCGCCATGCCTGTTTTCATTGACAGAACGTTTTGCACTGCCCCCACCTGGACACAAATTAATACTACATCAGCTAATTTTTTGACCGAAGTAAAAAAAAAAAAAAAAAAACCTTTCTCCTGCTTCACTCAAAGGGAAGTATTTGTCACGTAAAGCGTATACTGTACAATAAAAAAAAAAAAATCTTACCTGTAGAGGTTGCAGTGACACCATTTACAGTTCCTTCAACATCAGTCTCATCCTCAGCATAGCTCATTAGAAGAGTCCTCTGTCTGTCAGTGAGTGACCTGTAACACAAGAAGGGTGAGCATGGTAAAGTATGAAGAACTAGCAGTCTTTTACCACTTAACAGAAAATGCAGCTAAATATATTAAGCTTAACTATTTTGAAAGCATGCGCCTATAAAATATTTTATCGTTTTAACTTTTTTTTCATTTATGCAAAAGCAGTAATTTATTATCTATGTATGAGTTGTAGACATACTTAGGGACTTTAATTTTAACGTGGATATAGTGGTCACCAAAACCATAGCCAGTGACACGGGCAATCCCCTTTCCTCCCAGACGGATTTTCTGATCAGCCTGGCAACCGGCAGGAATCTAAAAATATTATCGTCTTGTTAGAAATCAAAGCTCTTATATCACAATAATATGCTATCTAAATAGACTTACTGATAGATTTAAAGTTTCATATAAGCCCTGTGTTCTGGCTGTTCCTCCAAGAATAGCTTGTGCCACAGAGATGAAAAGGTCAGAATGTATGTCCGCTCCATCCCTTCTAAATACTGGACTTCTTTGAACCTGGAAAACCAAAAGGAAAATACAATTTTATCTTAAATTAGTCTGCAGTTGCCTTCATCAAAAAGTTATGTCCATTATCAATCACCAAGTTTGGTACAGGTACCAGTTAATATATCAGCCAACCAATACATCTGTCTATCACTTCGACACACACGATAAATGAGAAAAGATGATCAAGTAGTAGTAGACCAACTTTCTGGGACCAGCAACTCACTTGTCCAAAGACCAGCACATGACACAACCAGCTGTGATGTGACTCAATGAACGCAGCAGTAGACATAAAGACTAAACCTAGCTAGCATGTTGCCAAAGCAGGTCACATTCACTATACACACTAAACATATCCCATTTAATAGCAATTAAATTACAGTTAAAAGAAAGTGAAGCATACTTACCCTAAATGTGATAAAAATCTCTTTTTTACCCACTGGCATTCTAACTGTCTGACCATCTTCAACCCCTACAAAAATCATGTATTTTTATAGTTTTATAGTTAGAGCTATAATAGAATTATTGAAGATGTTAATTATTCCAAGAAATATTTCCGATTAATGTCTCACCTGCTGGAACAGGAACCATGACTGTCTTCCTCTGTTTGGTTTGTCCTGTTCCACGACAAATGCCACAGGGTGTAGAAATAATGCTACCTTTTCCTCCACAGCGACGACACGTGGACCGCATAACAAATGGGCCTGTATTTATAGTCTCCTACAAATAAAATGTAACGTAATTAAACATGTTTAAATATAATGTTAAATACATGTTTTTGTAAGACTCATACCATTCCAGAGCCGTTACAATAGTGGCAGTGCTGGACCTTTGTGCCAGGCTCATGCCCCTTGCCATCACACCTTTGACAGGCAGCATCTATGTTAACTGACATTTCTTTGTTGACACCTTTTGCTGCTTGATTGAATGTCAACTCCATGATGTACTGCAACAAAACCAACAGAGCAAATTAGAGTCATTAGAACAGGCTGCAAGTATTACTACAAATTCCATCTACAAACCTCTTGTGGCTGATCAAATATAGCATTAAAGTCGCCAAAGCCACGTCCACCTGAAAATTCACCAAAAATCTTGCGAAAAAGTTCTTCTGGGTCCACATTACTGGTCTGGCCTGACCAGTACCGCTGGCCTCCACCACCCTGGTTGGGATCAAAGCCTGCTGACCCATATGTATCATACTGCTTCCTCTTGGCTTCATCACTTAGCACCTGAGGATAACCTAAATATTAGTTGGGATAACAGAAGAAAAAAAAAACCTTCATAAATAAATATACCTCATAAGCTTCAGCGAGCTGTGCAAACTTTTCCTTGGCTTGAGGGTCATCTTTGTTGGTGTCAGGATGGTACTTTTTGGCCATCTGAAATATAAAATAAGTAAATGTGGTTGAAAATACAATTAGAAACATGTACCATCAGATGTCTACAAAAGTGTTCTGTTAGGTCAACGCATACCTGATAGTAGGCTTTCTTGATTTCCTTTTGGGTTGCTGTACGAGGGACACCCAAGACCTGATAGAAGTCTTGCTTATTGCTGGTGGTGGCACTTGTGTGGAAGGACAGTGTGTACATGGCATTAGGAAATTTTAATCCTGAAATGCATGAAACCGTGTGTAAGTTTATGGGGAACAAATGTACTCACCATTGCATACATCTGTAATATAATGAGTACAGACATAATTGAATACAGACATTTTAACATGTTTAACGTTTAAAATGTGTGCTTAGTATGTTCTGGTGGGGGATCCACTATCTACCTTATCTCCATGGGAATGTTTTTGCTATGTCTGGAAAAGTCCACATGATGACCTTAAACCTATCCATCCTCGTGAAGAGGGGGAGCTTACTCTTCCTAACCATGTTATGTGTAAGATCTATGGACAGGCGTGCCGCTCACGGTGATGCATGTCTTTAAAAGCCTTTTTAATTAATTTAAAGCAATTATACGCTCGTTTAATGCCACAAAGGGGAACAATCCTGGCACAGCAATAATATATCTACAGAGACAAGATGGTCGCTGACCCTTAACGAGAAAAGACACGTAGTGTACCTTTAAAAAAACTGCAAATGACATTTAAATTCGATGGCAGCACCACAGTCATTACATCATCCTCCAGAAAGCACATTAGAGCAAAATCAACATAGATACAGACAAAAGTAATATGGCTTTCTTACTTGTCTTGTCAGACGTTTAACTGTTATGTTGGTAATAATATAGTCATCCAACCAAAACTAAACCTAAACCATTAGCTTAGCAGAGGCCAGTGCCGCTCTTACCCGACAACCCTCTCAATGTCAACCCTTTCCCTGGTCCAGCACATCTCGCTGTTCCTCCACGCCAAAGTTTTTCTGGACCCAAAGTAGAAAAACTACGGGCAGCTCCAATAGCTTTACAAACATTAGGGGCCGTGGCATTGCAATGTCCAGATGACACGATCACAGTAATCCAGCGTGAGGATCTGCGAGCTACAGAAGACGCCATCATTCCCACACAACTCCCTGCACAGTAGACACTGCGCATGCGCTACAGGACGTTGCGCGTACATTGCGTCCAAAGATTATGTATGAATCAAGATGATATAGTGTTTGTGAGTTTAGTTTTTTTTTTTTTTTTTTTACAAATAGGAAGTTCAAATTCTCATTTTATGTGGAGGTTTATAGGGGTAACTGACACAAAAGCATGAGACGTATTACAGTAATTACAGATTATCCTTAAAGGTTTAATTAATATAGCTCTGACATATTGAGTAGGGATCTTTTTCATACACACATATCTGATTTACTCTCCGGAGCGGACAGTTGTGTGTGCATCAGCCTCCATACGGGCAATCTGAGCTGTCAGCTGCTGCACAAGCCTTCTACCGAGTACCAACCAGCTCCACACAGGCACCCGGAAGGCACCAAAGTCAATTTAAGAAGACAACATGAATCGCTTTAGGACATCCAAATTTAAAAACACAACTCCCAAGATCTCCAAGAAAGAGGTGAGTGTTTTCAGCTCTCCTATTCTCAGTGAATCGCTAAAATTCTTGGCTAACAGGAGCTGTACTTCTGCTTTGGGTTACGCCTTCAAAGGATGTTCTGCATCGCATCTGGAAGTCTAGATAGAAGCGTAGAAATCACACTCCTCGTGCAATAGTTTAGTGTCCCTGATGTCATGTGGTTGCAAAAATCAACAACGCTAGGCTAACAATGCCTAGCACAGCATGCACCCAGAGTTTTTCTTATTGTTATTGTCAGGCTATATGCGCCTGCTGAATGCTTGTAAGTCATTTATAACAGGTCTAAACGGGATCACTATCCTTTGCTTTGACTTGCAGCTCTTTTCCTGCGGAGTGATATTATGTAACCCCCTGCCTGTACTTTAGTGAAGCAGTAAAATGTCTGGTATGCTCAGAAAATACTGTGTAGCAGGGGGAGACTATTCTATGCTCGCCCTGAAGCCAATGTCAGATGGCTCCTTCAGCCAACACCAGAGATTTAGCGCAGCAAACCACGTGACATAGATAACTTTGCTCTGTTCAACAGTAAGCACCTGGAGGAATTAAATTATTAATATATCTGTGTTTTACATCCCAATGGAGAGGAGGAATTTACTATTAGGAGAAAAAATGCATTGTGTCTTGTAACAAAGAAGCTCTGTTTAAATAATGGTTTATGTTGGACATGTGTGTCTTCTGTCTTGCTTTATGAAGTAATGCAAGCTGTTTTATATGCAATACAGAGAGGATTTCCACTTCCTCAAGACTCTAAGAAGCTCTTCTATTCACACACACAGCTAGATGCTTCCTGTTTGTTACACTGACAACTGTTAGTTCTGCTCATTGTTGTTTATGAAGATCTGCATATATTTTTTAAAGAGTAGCATGAAATACAATTAACTACAAATTTAAATTATACATGCATATATATTTTTAATGAATGCTTTGCCACACCTAGGAATGGATCAGCAATGTTCATGGCGGTTCCATCTTCTGCCAGGGGAACCACATCAAAGCAAGCTCCAAACTGGTGGTTTTCAGTACAGAGCAGGCTGGTAAGTTTTGCTATGTGCGTATGCAAAATAATGACCTCTATAAGACTTGGATCATGCCATTACAAAATAACTTCTTGTATAATAAAACACATACATTTAAACTGTGTTGTTAACTGTGTTGTGTGCACTAATGTTGGCCACCAGTATAGAACACCAGAACAAATAAATAATAATGTTTCATTAAACTAAAAATAAATTGTGTGTACAGGGGGAGGTATGCTGGGCTTGTCTTCAGTCAAACCTGGGACAGATGACCAGTGGAAAGTGACACATATTTCCTGTCATTCAGGTAATTAATTTCAGTCAATTTAAAGCAATTTCAATAGAAACCTTTTGTTATATTTTTTCTTGTGCAGAGTTGGTGTCTGACATGGATTTCTCCCCATTTGACGAGTACCTCCTTGCAACATGCTCTGGAGATAATACTGTAAGATCTTGGGTTCTCTTTTTTCAATATCTCATTGCACTTCAAGCGAGTGAACTTTTTTTTCACTAAGGTTGCTGGTAGCTTCATTTGTTATTCAAACCCTTCTAAAACTCTCCAAATTCAGCACTTTTAGCCTCACCCACAGGCTAAAGAGCACAGGTGTTTATTGAAATATGTTGAGTCCGCATGTTCAGACTTTACCACTTCGGTGTGCCTCACAGCCTATGTAAACATACATGGATCCTTTCCAGAATGGATACTAACCCACAAGCTTTTACAACTGGAAGCTTGGTTATATTTAAGTGGTTTCAGCATTCAGCATAGTTTTTCGTGAGGAAATCTATAAAGGCTATTATATTTTTATATTTATATGGAACATGGAACATATCATGTTCTTAATGTGTTGTAGTAGATCAGCCATATTTCAGTATTTATATACATTTTTAATATGTATAATTTTTTGTAATTATACGTATATTCACACAGCAAAATAATCACCTTAACCCAGTTTTATAATTAGTAGAGTACACATATATACAGTGCATAACCCTATCTAACACTTGTTTACACATAGGCAAAGCTGTGGCATCTGTGTGATCCAGAGTTGGAGCAGCCCTCTGAACCAGAGCTGACCTTACATCCAGGACAGGGCAAACTGGAACTGGTGATGTTTCATCCCACCTCGTCTGGGCTTTTGACATTAGGGGCCACCAACTCACCGCTTCTCTGGGACACCAGCCGCCGAGATGCCCCTTTAGCAGGTACAAATCGCTGGCACTGCATGCTGCAACATAGTTTGAATGCATATCACAAATCAAACCTGTGTCACACAACTGTCTGAATGTGTGTTTCAGTGTGAAATTTCATTATGTTTTCTCTCTGTGCGTTATTGGATTAATTTAGTCTGAAAATATGTTTTTCCAGCATTTACAAAAAAATAAATTCTACTTACTCTTGAGACTAATTCAGCTTTCCTTTGTCAAATATAATATAAACATATAAAACCACATATCTGACTGGCTTAAAAACATTTATTTAAACTACTTCTTTTACTGTGAAGAACTGTCTGAATTATGCTACCTACGTTTTTCAGCCCTGTGGCTCTGTCTAATTGCTGGAGCAACAGAGGTAATGTTTTTAGTTTGAGTCCTGCTTCCAGTCTCCTTGAACTGGCTTCAGGATATAGCCACTATCCTCTGGCCTGACACCCCTGTCCTGCACACAAGCACTGCCCCATTTACCCCATCCCATAAGAGCTGGCCTGGCTGCTGCTGCTCACATCTGAACCTCCACGCTCTCTCTTTACTACCATCTCTTTACATCACTCAGGAGTGAGATTGAAGCAGTAATCAAGACTTATAAATATTTATGTTTATGTCTTGTGTGTTTTGTCTGATTGTGTGTGTGTTATGAAAGGTTTCACATCATTCTGTTTTTGTGTGTTTTCATATCAATTTCACTGTGCTGTGGACACAAGATGCTAGTAAGGCCTTGGATGTGTTGTACTATTCATAATTCATCTTCATCACCTACAGAGTGAATACTCTATTTAAACTCTGCTTCATTATGCCTTTTCACATTTTTAACCCTAAATTGCCCTCTCACTTTTATATTGTACTCATGTTGTTTTATTCCTAATATATTGTATAATGTACATTCCTAATGTTTAATCACATGCATTGACTTGTTTTATGCATCATGTTAACTGAAAACATTTCTATGCAGTTCTGGAGAATCACAGTGATCAGTTGCAGAGCTTGAGCTGGAAACAAGACGGTTCACTGCTGGCTTCCTCCTGTAAGGTGAGCAATTTAGAAATATGTTAGGCTATTTGAAAAAGAAACAACAACAAACAAGAAACAACAAACAACAACAAACAAGAGATAATTAAAAATAACTTTTTTTAAAAGTAAGATTACAGGAGTACAGATTTTCTCCATCATCAACCATTCACTTTGCGGTCTAAATGCATCACATGTTTTACATATAAATGCAAGGTATTCCAAATGTGTGTATATTTAAACATTACAAGCTAATATTTCAAGTTGCATCTTTATTTCTTTCGCCATGTTTGTTTACCTTTATTCACCACTAGATGGCAACACCAGCTTAGGCTCCTTTAAAGGGCTCCATAGTTAACTTCTCCCAGTGGACCCGTTTATTTGTTCACATGGAGATCATTTCATTAGGAATTAAATAGGTTAATAATCATGAAAGGGGTGGAGATCAAATCTCAAATTGAATACGGATTTGCTGTGTAATAAGGGAAAAAGTACTGAAAGCTTGTTGGTGTGAAAAGACTAATGGGCTGCTTGTTTTAACACATGAATGATGATGTTATAGAGCTTGGCCTTAGTAATGGTTTTCTTTAATTTAATTGTTCCTTTTAATGGTATACTGCTTATGTTACAAAAACAGTAAACATAACTACAGTTTTCAGCTAACTTTTAGGTGCTATTCTGACTGCTAATTATCTACAAATCTAATAAAAAACACACACACACATCTGGAAATCCCTTTTGCACATCTTGGCCTTGTA